TCTCTTGCATTTGTCACTGCTGAATGGAACAGACTTGTCTCCTGGTGCTCCAGAGAGCAATGGAGCAAAAGGTTCAGTAAAAGAGAGTCCACCTGAATATTTGGAAGAATATTCTGATAGTAAGTGTTGTTTGACAGAGGCATTTGTTAATTCTGGGAAGTCTGGTAGAGTCTTCTTCTTTAGAGGTTTTTAGAGGCTGAATATGCCTTAGCTGGAAGGGCTTGGGTTGTGTTTTCTTATCTGTCAAAATGGGACAAGGCTGGATAGCTTTGGGTATCCTTTCCAACTCTAGAGTTTTAGCATAAGATGTTGCAATAGTTTCCCTGTTAGGAGGAAATGGGCTGATTTAAAGGTGCAACCCAAAGCACTAATACCTGGCCTCTCAAGTTTGAAGCATCTAGGTTTTGTTTATGTTTAGTGACTCCAAGTCTTTTGCAAGTTCAGGCAACCCTAACATTGGGGCTTTCTGCAGCTGAAAGTGTTTGATGCATCCAATGGGTTTCCATGGCTGTTCTCTAGCCATAGTCCACCACTACCACCACCACCACCACCACCACCATTATTATTTATGCCCCACTTTTCTCTCCACAAGGAGACTCAAAGTGGCCTCCTTTAAAATTCTGACTCAAACCCAAGGTTGATCTGTCGACACACTTACATGGGAATCAACATTGTATAACACACTGGAAATTCATCAATTTCCTTGGTGGGTCTTTTTTTTTTTTTGTATTTTCAGGAGCTAGAGAAGAAATTGGAAATTCCCATGAGGGACATCTGTTCATCGCAGGGACTTCAACAGGGCTGAGAAAACAGCTGGTCCATTTCAGTGCTGCAAACAACCTGTACTGGTACTGAAAGAATTAGGAAGCTCAACAGGAGGCAAACAGTTCTCTTTAATCCAAAGGAAACCCAATCATAATCAAGTACATGGGGCTCCAAGCATCCAAGAGAAGGACGTGGGCATCTAGACCTGAAATGGCAGGGGGAAGGTTTCAGGAGAGGAGAGACCAAGAGAGTTCCAGAGGTCTTAAAAGCATGGATTTTTATTACCAGCTGGGACCCTGGAGTGGACTTGCGTCCCAAAAGCAAACCAGAGCAAATGATAGAGGGGCGGACTGTGGCTTTTATAGATTCCAGGTTCAAGCAAACAAAGAACATGCTACTACATACATTATCGTCACTCACTGCGTCATCTTAGCATCAAATTCTATCTTTCTAACATGCAAAAAGGCATGTCTGCGTTTCTAAAGAGCAAGACACGCAGCTTACATTCATCCACCAAAGGGGCCCACTTTGACTTGTCAAGAGGATCCTTACTTAGTACCAGTCTGTGGCTCCTGGTACGGGCTTATCTTCTGGAATGTATAGATAACATAACACTCTTGCTGTGCCTGGATGCAGCTTACTTGTCCTGTTAGCTTGGGTTTCTTTCTAAACACAGAGAGAGCCTGATTGTTCTATGCCTTTCAGTAATTGAAAAATATATACAATTTATGTATCAATAAATATCTATTTTTCCAATATCTCCTTATCAGACCAAGCTGCTGGCTGTTTTTGTACAAAGTGTGATCAAACCATAGAATCATATTGCTTGAAGAGAACACAAAAACCATCCGGTCCAACCACCTTGAGAAAAGTGAATGGTATCTTGGAGAAAATGTAACTGCTGTTGGGTGTCTTTGTTGTGTTTGGGTTGTTGTAAGTTTTTTGGGCTATATGGTCATGTTCTAGAAGCATTCATAGAATCATAGAGTTGGAAGAGACCTCATGGACCATCCAGTCCAACCCCCTGACAAGAAGCAGGAAAATTGCATTTAAAGCACCCCTGACAGATGGCCATCCGGCCTCTGTTTAAAAGCCTCCAAACAAGGAGCCTCCACCACACTCCGGAGCAGAGAGTTCCACTGTTAAACAGCTCTCACAGTCAGGTACTTCTTCCTAATGTTCAGGTAGAATCTCCTTTCTTGTAGTTTGAAGCCATTGTTCCATTGCGTCCTAGTCTCCAGGGAAGCAGAAAACAAGCTAGCTCCCTTTTCCCTATGACTTCCTCTCATTATTTATACATGGCTATCATATCTCCTCTCAGCCTTCTCTTCTTCAGGCTAAACATGCCCAGTTCCTTAAGCCACTCCTCATAGGGCTTGTTCTCCAGACCCTTGATCATTTTAGTCACCCTCCTCTGGACACATTCCAGCTTGTCAATATCTCTCTTGAATTGTGGTGCCCAGAATTGGACACAATATTCCAGGTGTGGTCTAACCAAGCAGAATAGAGGGGTAGCATTACTTCCCTAGATCTAGACACTATGCTCCTATTAATGCAGGCCAAAATCCCATTGGCTTTTTTAGCTGCCGCATCACATTGTTGGCTCATGTTTAACTTGTTGTCCACGTACTGCTCTCGAGCCAGGCATTGTCCCCCATTCTGTATCTTTGCATTTCGTTTTTTTCTGCCAAAGTGGAGTATCTTGCATTTGTCCCTGTTGAACTTCATTTTGTTAGTTTTGGCCCATCTCTCTAATCTGTCAAGAACGTTTTGAATCCTGCTCCTGTCCTCTGCAGTATTGGCTATCCCTCCCAATTTGGTGTCGTCTGCAAACTTGATGATCATGCCTTCTAACCCTTCATCTAAGTCATTAATACAGATGTTGAACAGGACCGGGCTCAGGACAGAACCCTGCGGTACTCCACTCGTCACTTCTTTCCAGGATGAAGAGGAAGCATTGCTGAGCACCGTCTGGGTTCGTCCACTTAACCAATTACCAATGGTTCCGAAATGACTTCCGCTTGTTCCTTCAATACTCTTGGGTGCAGTTGATCTGGCCCTGGGGACTTGAAATCATTAAGAGCGGCCAGGTATTCCTGGATGACTTGTTTCCCAATTTAGGGTTGGATGTCCTCTAATCCCTCATCCACTCCATCTTGCTGAGGTTGAAGATGACTTTCTTTTTGTGAGAAGACCGAGGCAAAGAAGGCATTAAGTAGTTCTGCCTTTTCCCTATCCCCTGTCAGCATTGCCCCATCTTCTCCTCGAAGAGGCCCTATTGCCTCCTTGTTTTTCCTTTTTCTACTGACATAAGAAAAGAAGCCCTTTTTATTGTTTTTAATGTCCCTGGCAAGCCTGAGCTCATTTTGTGCTTTAGCCTTGCGGACCTTTTCCCTACAGGAGTTGGCTATTTGCTTGAATTCTTCTTTGGTGATTTCTCCCTTTTTGTTAGGATGAGATCGAGAGTAGCCAACCCCCTTGTTGCCTCTTCTACCTTCTGGACCATGAAATTGTCTGCAAGGCAAGCGAGGAATTTGTTGGACTTTGTATTCTTGGCTGATTTTTTTTCCAGCAAATATTGGGATAGTTGAAATCATCCATGACTACTATATCTCTTCTTTGTGCCTGTTTGGTCAACTGTTGGCAGAAGACTTCATCAAGTTCTTCATCCTGTCTTGGAGGTCTGTAGTAGATGCCCACAACGAGTCCCAGTTCCCTTGATTCTTATCCAGATGCTTTCAAGCTGGTTTCCCAGATTGCTGTCTTGCATCTCTTCTGCAGCGTAACAGTTTTTGACATATAAGGCTACTCCACCTCCTCTCCCTTTTGTTCGGTTTCTGTGAAAGAGGTTATAGCCCTCGATGTCTACATTCCAGCGATAGGAGTCATCTCACCAGATTTCAGTGATGCCTATGACATCATATTATCTCCTGACATTTAGCCTGCATCTATGGCAAGCATCCTCAGAGGTTCTGAGGTCTGATAGAAACTAGGAAAAACTGGGTTTATATATCTGTGTAATGTCCAGGGTGGGAAGAGGGACTCTTGTCTGTTGGAGGTAGGTATGACTGTTTCAGTCAGAGACCTTGAATAGCATTTGATAGCCTGGCAGTTTTTAGGTGTAGCTTGTTATTGCCTGGGGGAATCTTAGCTGTCCCTGATTGTTTCCTCTCTGGAGTTCCCCTGTACTTGAGTGTTGTTTTACTGTTGTAATTTTAGAGTTTTTTTAAAAATATTGGTAGCCAGATTTTGTTCATTTTCATGGTTTTCTCCTTTCTGTTGAAATTGTCCACATGTTTGTGGATTTCAATGGCTTCTCTGTGTAGTCTGACGTGGTGGTTGTTAGAGTGGTCCAGCATTTCTGTGTTCTCAAATAATCAAGGGAACCACTGACCGCATAGGGAAGCTGATGAAGAAACACAACATGCAAACTATCTACAGACCCACTAAAAAAATCCAACAAATGCTACGTTCAGCAAAGGACAAGAGGGATCCTCTCACCTCTGCAGGAGTCTACCATATACCATGCAGCTGTGGACAAGTCTACATAGGGACCACCAAACGCAGCATTGCCCAAACACGCATCAAGGAACATGAAAGACACTGCAGATTACTTCAACTAGAGAAGTCAGCCATCTCAGAGCATCTGATGAACCAACCTGGGCACAGCATGTTATTTGAGAACACAGAAATGCTGGACCAGTCTCACAACCACCAAGTCAGACTACACAGAGAAGCCATTGAAATCCATAAGCATGTGGACAATTTCAACAGAAAGGAAGAATACCATGAAAATGAACAAAATCTGGCTACCAGTATTAAAAAAAACTCTAAAATTACAACAGCAAAACAACACTCAAATACAGGGGAACTCCATACAAGAAACAATCAGGAACAGCTAATCACCTCTCAACAAAAGATTTCCACAGGCACTAACAAGCCACACCTAAAAACTGCCAGGCCATCAAAAGCTAATCAAGGTGGCCAATTAAAACATTCACACCTAGCTCCAATAGACAAGACCTCTTTCTCCCACCCTGGACATTCCACAGATATACTGTATAAACCCAGTTTTTCCTAGTTCCGACAGACCTCACAACCTCTTAGGATGCCTGCCATAGATGCAGGCAAAACGTCACGAGAAAATACTTCTAGAACATGGCCATATAGCCTGAAAAACCTACAACCCAGTGATTCCGGCCATGAAAGCATGAAAGCCTTCGACAATACTTTGTTGTGTTTTCTTGCAGGTTTGCACGCTCTTATGGAGGCCACACTATCCATCCAAAGACATCCTTGGCATCTCGTCACTCTGTATTCATGTCAATGCACCTTGTGCCAGATGAACGCCTCTCTGGATGTGGGACTGCACTATATATCCCATTAGCTGTGGCCTGTCTCCATATCTTCCGCTGGGACTTTGTCTTCCCTCTCTCTGAGACTCATCAGGATGGCACTGAGGGCTCTCCTCTTCTTGGCCTTCTTGGCTTGCAGCTCATCTCAGAGACCTGTGCCAGTAGATGGCAACGGCATTGACGGGGACGATGGGCACCACCAGGACAGCCCTGGCCTCATCCACTGTGGTGAGTACAGCAACCAGGTTTTGCCCAATGGGAAGTGCAAAATCGTGGCCACGTTGCCACAGCTGGACGAACAGCGGTGCCCAGACATGTTTCGCTGCACTGACGAAGTGTCCTACTGGCTGCATGAGAACGAGGAGCGGAAGCAGCAGATCCTGGAGCTGCGGGAACTCATCTCAGAGCTTCAGGAGGAGCTGAGGAACCACCGGCACCGCATCAAAATCCTGGAGTTGCAGGTTGGTTCCTTTGGTATGGCATCGAGGGGGAAAGAGCTGTTTGCCATCAAGGGGGCTCTGAGTTATGGTGTTCATTTTGCCACCTGTCCCCCTGTTCAGATTTCTCTTCACTTTCTGTCCCTCTGATAATTGGATTTTGCAAAATGTGGCTTGTTGTGGAAAGAAGGATTTGGGATAAAGCTTCAGTGGAGCTTCCTTTCCCCCATGATAATAGAATCATAGAATCAAAGAGTTGGAAGAGACCTCATGGGCCATCCAGTCCAACCCATTCTGCCAAGAAGCAGGAATATTGCATTCAAATCACCCCTGACAGATGGCCATCCAGCCTCTGTTTAAAAGCTTCCAAAGAAGGAGCCTCCACCACACTCCGGGGCAGAGAGTTCCACTGCTGAACGGCTCTCACAGTCAGGAAGTTCTTCCTAATGTTCAGATGGAATCTCCTCTCTTGTATTTTGAAGCCATTGTTCCGCGTCCTAGTCTCCAAGGAAGCAGAAAACAAGCTTGCTCCCTCCTCCCTGTGGCTTCCTCTCACATATTTATACATGGCTATCATATCTCCTCTCAGCCTTCTCTTCTTCAGGCTAAACATGCCCAGCTCCTTAAGCCACTCCTTATAGGGCTTGTTCTCCAGACCCTTGATCATTTTAGTCGCCCTCCTCTGGACACATTCCAGCTTGTCAATATCTCTCTTCAATTGTGGTGCCCAGATTTGGACACAATATTCCAGGTGTGGTCTAACCAAAGCAGAATAGAGGGGTAGCATGACTTCCCTAGATCTAGACACTATCCTCCTATTGATGCAGGCCAAAATCCCATTGGCTTTTTTTGCCGCCACATCACATTGTTGGCTCATGTTTAACTTGTTGTCCACGAGGACTCCAAGATCTTTTTTACACATAATAACCCTTCCAGGAGTGGATTTCTCTTCCTTCTGAAAGGTTGATTCCTCTCACTTCCTGTTGTCTCAGTCCTGTTCTTAAGTAGGAGTCATTTGTAAGTTGGTTGTTTGTAACTCAGGGACTGCCTATATACAGTTGTAAGGGATCCCAAGGGCCATCCAGTTCAACCTCATTCTGCTAAACAGGAGCCTAAAGTCTAAAAACTCCTGACAGATGGCCATCCAGCCTCTATTGAAAAAACTCCAGAAAAGGTGACCCTATTATACTTCCACTGTTGAACACCTGTTCCCTTCAGGAAGTCCTTCCCAATATTTAGATGGAATCTCTTTTCCAACCATTTGAATCCCAGGCTCCATTGTGTCCTAGTCTCCAGAAAACAAGCTTGGCCCCTCCTCAATGTGATATCTTTTCAAGTATTCAAACTTAGCTCTTATGTCCCCTCTTTGCTATCTATTCTGTAAGGTAAATATGCCCTTCTCTGAATCTCAGAGGGAGACAGAGTTTCCATCTCTTTGGCCATTTTGGTAGCCCTTCTCTAGACACCTTCCAGGTTATCCACCTCCTTCTTGAAGTGCTTTGCCCAGAACAGAACCCAGGATTATTATTCCAAGTCTGACCAAAACAGAAGAGAGAGGACTATGACTTCCCTTGATCTGGACACTAGACTCCTCCAGAGCAGAGCTTTCTAAACATCTTCATAACCTCTGAGGATGCCTGCCATAGATGTGGACAGGAGAGAATGCTTCTGGAACCATGGCCATACAGTCCAGAAAACTCACAGCAACCCAGTGATTCTGACCATGAAAGCCTTCGACCACACATTTCACATTGGAAACACAATTTTTAGACACACGTAATTTTGCAACACAGTGATGCAGTTTTACTAGAGGTGAAGTCAACCAATTTAAGTGAGTTGTTGTAGGTTTTTTCGGGCTATATGGCCATGGTCTAGAGGCATTCTCTCCTGACATTTCACCTGCATCTATGGCAAGCATCCTCAGAGGTAGTGAGCACTACCTCTGAGGATGCTTGCCATAGATGCAGGTGAAATGTCAGGAGAGAATGCCTCTAGACCATGGCCATATAGCCCGAAAAAACCTACAACAACCCAGTGATTGCAGCCATGAAAGCCTTCGACAATACAATTTAAGTGATATGGACATATCTAAATTGTAATACCAAATTGAATGGGGACCCTTGAATATATATATATTCAATATATATATTCAGTATATATATAAAATTTATATATGATTTATTCAATTTTTGAAGGTTTTCACGGCAGTGTTGTATGGTTTCCGGGCTTTATGGCCATGTTCTAGCAGCATTTTCTCCTGACATTTCGCCTGCATCTGTGGCTGTCAACTTCGGAGCATTTATATGATTTATTGCTTATTTCATATAAACCCAGAGGTTTCCCATCACATTCTTGTGGCAGACGACATGCAATTTGAAAAGCTCTGCTCTAGAGTCTAGGACAAAATGGAGCAACTGATTCAAATGGCAGGACAAGAGTTCCCACCAAAACATTAGGAAAAACTTCCTGGTGGTAAGAGTTATTAAGCAGTGGGATACAAGGCTGCCTAGAGGTTTCCTCCTCTGGAGGTCTTTAAACAGAGGCTGTATGGCCTTCTGTAGGGAGGGCTTTGATTGTGTCTTCCTGCCTTGCAGAAAGGGGTTGGACTGAATGGTCTCAAGGAGTTTCTTCAGACTCTGTGTCCTCATTCGGGGCATTCCTCCCACGCAGCAGGGAGCGGCTTGGTGGGCGGAAGGGAACATCCTTGGACATCATGCTTACCATAAGCCCACGTTTCCAGGCGAAGCTGCGTGCCTGATGCCCTGTAAGAGCCAGTGGCTAGTAGTCGGATCAATGGTCTGATCTGGCATTAGGAAATTCCTGAAAGGAGCTTAGCTGGAAAATGACTAAGAGATGCTGCGGGGAATTAACAGCCCTTCTCCACCCTTTCTGTCTTGAAAATCCTGGAGAGATGAAGGGTCTGTTTCCCGAATCTCAGAGCTTTGCCCTTCTTCTCCAGTCCTTGAAGCGAAGGGAAGAAATCTCAAGGCGAGAGCACTGACTTTGGAATTGCTGTTTCTCATTAATAAGACTTAGGGCTAAAACCAATAATCGGCTGCAAGTAAAGTAGATCCAATGAATCCACGCAAAGTCTTGGTTCGGTGTTTAACATCTTTCTAAATGACTTAACGGCGCATCTACACTGTCCAGTTAATGCAACTTGACACCATTTGAACTGCCATGTCTCAATGCTATGGAATCCTGGGAGTTGTAGTTTGCTGAGGCACCAGCATTCTTTGGCAGAGAAAGCCATTGCCCCATGCCAGTGAATGTGGTGTCACTCTGCACTAATTCGATTGGGAATGGAAAGGAATAAATGCTTATCAGATTTGCAAATGACACCAAATTAAGAGAGAGCAATTACCCCAGAGGATAGCAACACTATTCAAAGTGACCTTAACATCTTAGAGAGCTGGGCTAACAGTTTGTTTTGTAGTTGAGTGCCTTCAAGAAATTTATGGCTCATAGAATCATAGAATCAAAGAGTTGGAAGAGACCT